TGTTGTCTACTATTTGTTTTATCTTCCGAGCTATGTGATGGAGGAGGTCTACTCGTCGGAAGATAATGAAGAGTAGGGGGGTGAAGGGAAGAGGGAGGATGTTTTCTTATGTTTTTTGATGAAGTATAATGCTGCGCTTATTGAGTAAGGGCACGGATTAGTGAGTTCACCTGATTTCTGCTACTACTCGTCTTGTGAACTATGGGTGGAGGAGGTCRGCYCGTCGTGAGATGAGGAATAGTTGAGGAAGGTGTGCATTGTATGGGTGCAGCTGTTGTTCTCATCCCGCGAACTATGTGGTGGAGGAGGTCGGCTCGTCGGGGGATGAAGAAGAATAGGGGGTTGGAGGAATGAGGGTGGATTGTTTGTTTGAGTGGTCTTGAAAATGTTTTAGGTTTCTGGGTACTTCTTACAATTCACTTTTGGCTTCTTTGATGCAGTCATATTCATGGATCTACGGTTTTTCGATGGCAGAACGACGTTGGTCGGTGCTGGGGGGTTGCCCTATAACCTGTTGATAGCAGGAGCGTGACGCCTGGTAGAGAGATCTAGGGATGCCTTGGGGCGAGCATTCTAAGGGAAAACCAAGGGTCGTTGTCGGGACGATGCTGGCCGGAGTTGGGGTGAGTCGTGTTGCCCTGTATGCGATGAACCACTTTCCGACACCGTGCTATCTTTCGTACCCCTTGACTCAATTCCCTCTTTTGTATCATACTAACCCAACAAAGCCCCTGTCGCTTTTCTTGATTTCAAGTGCCTTGTCCAGGCCCTCATTTTTCGAAGGTTCTATTGATTCTTGGACTTCTACTTTTTGTAATTCGGGAAATGCATGGGAAATTGCGTGCGTCTTAGCGGGCGCACTAGGAATCGGGCTCGACAGTTAGGAATTTCGGAATAAACGGAACCCGACGTGTCCTTTTTTTGTTGTTGTGCATTAATGCTCTCGGTCACGTCGGAGAAAACTCTAGGAATTTTGTGAGAATACGGAGAGGCATATGACTTTCTTTTCCCACGTCGACTTTCGCGCGCGGATATGGTGATTTCAATTTTTGAATTAGTTTAGGACAGGCAAGATGTAACTGTTTTGGTGCATTTTTCTCTTGTTGTCGGCGCTGCGCATGCGAGCTTCCTCCTCCTTATTTCCCGCGTCATTCTTCCCCCGTGCTCTCTTCTCTCTCCCTTCCCCCTCCTCTTATTCTCCTATCGCAACTGTTTTTCCATCTTTCTGCTCTTTGCACGTCTGTTTTTCCTTTCTTGATCATCTGAATCTTGGACCCGTCTCGCGCTGCTTCTCGCGCCTCTTTCCTTTTCGCCCTTCAACCCTGTCTCGCGAAGCCCGGTTGATCCCTCGATTACCCCCGCTCACCAATTAGACGTGTTGAGTAAGAGGATCTTCCTATTGCGCGACGAATCTGATTGGCCGAACATTGGGTTCCGAAGGATCAACATGGCTTCCTTTGAGCACCCCTCGCCGAATCTTCTCCTCTTACACCTCGATTTCCCCTCTGTCTTCTCCCCCGTCTGTCTTCTTTCTCGCAACTATCAATTTCGCAAGCGCGCCTGCAAATCTCTCTTACGTTTTCAACTCCCAAGCCAGCTTCCGGGAAGCAATGGCTAGGTGATGCGTTCTGTGTGAGTCGAAAAGTCCCGACGGGCTGACTGTAGGCTGGCCGGTTGCGCGCTTGATCGCTACGGCGGACTGTGGGATCCGGGCGAGCCGAGTCGAGCTTGCGTCAGCGGGGTGACGATCGCAGCAGCGAAAGTTAGCACACGACGGTCGGGATCGTCAGTGCGGGTATGAGGGTCGGTAATTGACTTGAGTGGATGATTGGCCCAGGGTCATATTGGAATTTCACGGCGAATGCGCCTTCATGGTTGTGGATCATTTTTTGGTGTGAGTTCATGGTTGTGAAGTCGAACGTTCCATTGTCAGATTCTAGTGTCTCCTGTCTCGACACTTCTCACTCATCTCTTCTCTTTCTCTCTCTGATCTAAATGACGCCGTGTTATGAGTCTGTCTCTCCTGTGAACAGAAGTGAATCCTTGTGATTTCTTGTGGAGAAAAACTTCTTCCGGAACTCTTCCATTAGTTTCCTGGGTAATCCCTGGATGCAAAGGAACTCAATCCTCTTGTCTTGTGAACGATGGATGCGTGTGTACAATCCCCCGATTTATTTCTGATTTGTGCACCATTGTCATTTTCGCACCTTCCACAGTGGATATATGCATAGAAATCCTTGTATGTGAGTTTTTGCGTTGATTAGACCCAGAGTTTGACGGGATCTTGTTCGAGAATGCAAGAGTGTTTAGATCTGTCGTTCTGAATTGCACTGCGCATGCCATCTGCCTTATACTGCACAACATCTACAGCCAGTCTGTGAGGCAGCCTTGAAAGAGCAAAAAGCCTCGGGTTTGCGACGACCTGGCTTGCTGAACTTGAGTCGCAGGTTGGTCCCTTGAAACTCCAACCCGATTCCTTCTCTCATGTCGAAAGGAAGGAAAATATTAGTTGTGCTTTTTGATGACGTCTCGGGGGTCTTGCAAACTCATTTTGATTGATTGATATGTGGACTGACGGTCGCACCCGGATTGGGCGCTTGTCTCCCGTGTCTCCCGCGCCAACGCGGCCCTTCCCTTACAACGAGGCCCTTCCCTTACAACGAGGAAAGGACCCGTGTTTGCGAGTGGGATGTACGAGAAGCTGTCGCACGGATCGGCGGACAATATTACTTCCCTCCCGAAAATCGTTGTTCTGGATTCCTGGACGCGGGTTTTGTCATTATCGATACACACTTCCTGCCTTACTCAGTGTTGTTGCCATTTAACGAGCTGATCGTCATTCCGTGGACGGCAGTGGCGCCCCATTGGCCTCGAACCCTGTGCACTGAGTGCCAGCGTTTTGATCGCTACGAATCAAAGGGCTTCCACTACCGAATACGGAGTGAAGACGATCACAAGGAAAGAGCCACGCGGCTGAGACCCTCCACGTCGGACTCGGAACTGACCAACGAGCGACGTCGGGAATTGATACGGAAACGAGACACGCGGAGTGTACCGAAGCCCTTTCGCTCTAAACGAAGAGCCATAGCGCGGTGGGAAGTTCGACAATACTTTTTGGATTGAATTTGGATTTTTTTTCTCTTTTCGCGCTGTGCCCGCGCGCGCATTCCGTGACGCGCGAAAGCAAGCGACTTACTTCATCGGACCAACATGGGGGATTTCAGTTCTGTCTGTGTCCCCACACTCAATTTTCCAAAAATCCTTGGCACACCCCATCTTGCTGTTCTCCCGGGCCCTCTTTCCGCACCCTTAGCACTCCGAACGGAAAACAGCACAGGGTGTGAGGTTTGCGTGTCACATAACCTAGCAGGGTAGGGGCATGAGGGCTGGGAGAGCTCGGCAGGGAATAAGACAGTGTTGGAGAATCTTAGAGGGTTTTGCTAAGGAGTCCAGGGGTTCTGAGTATTCAGTAGCTTAGCAATAGGCCAGCAATTACCCAGGTTTTTCTAAATGTTTGATTCTCTTGAACTTTCTTGAATTTCTTCAATAGTTCTCAATAGTTCTCAGATTGATTCTCCGCCGAAGATGGGTACCTCAAATGACTTGTGTAACGCTACATGGGACGCTGGGCCCGGTTCCCAGCACGTGCTGCTCCCCACAAATAGACTGGGGCATTTGTTCCCCCCCAAAAAAAAGAAGAAAAAAGAAGAAAAAAAGATAAACACAAACACCCTAAGTATCACACAAACACACACACACTAATCTTGAAACATACACACAAATATTCCTTTTTTTTCATGCAATGATTACCCTACTTCTAAACCTCACCAAGAATGCCTCTATCAATCAAGCATATTCAAACTACGGGCACCCGTGCCCTCATGGTAAGTCAATGGAGCTGCTTTTGTGGAGATGTGCACAAAATCGTGTTTGATCGGCTGGTGGGACCTCCCCCCTGGGGTAGTCAGTTGGATGATGATACCTCAAGGCCGTCGCTCTCTGGGGGGAGGGGGAGGGAGGAAGAAAAAAGACAAAGCAGATTCCCTAGGGGTAGTCAGGTGGATGATGATACCTCAAGGCCATCGCTCTTTGTTTGAGGGGGGGGGGAAAGAAAAAAGACAAAGCAGCAAGAGACAAGAGGCGATGTACAGGGTCCCCTTTTCACCTTTTTCTTTTTGTTTGGGAAAATTGCATCTGCACCCCACTTAAAGATGGGAATACCGGCTATACCCAGTCCCAACGAGAACTTGCATCTATACCCATAGTACCCAACTCTTCTCCCCTACAAAATTGAAGGCATACTCAGTCCCTCTACCGCGTGGGCTGGGGAGAGATCCGGGTTGGTTGGTGTTCCCCCCTACTATAGATAGACTAGTGAGAGGATGAGATAGATGCGTACTACCAAGAAAGATGAAATAGATTGAGAGAAGATTGTAAAAAAAAAAGAAAAAAAAAAGAAGAAAAAAGAATTAAAAAAAAAAAGAAAAAAGAAAAAAAAGAAAAGAAGGCATACCCAGTCCTGGAGGCCCTCTGCTGGGTATAAAATTATGCTCATGCCCACCAAGTGAACCGTTATGGCCCAACAGCTGCTGGGTATGAGCATAATTTCAGCCATCCGGTAGTAGGGTATATGAATAATTGGCCGGTCCACCTCGGTCCCAGGTATGCCCATAATCTTGCCTGGGTATGTCCATAATATGTGCATTCGGTAGTTGGTTATAACCGCAGAATCCACCTCGGTCCTGGGCATGCAAATATTTTCCACCGGCCGTTTTCCGGGCGTAGATGCAAGTTGGCGCTTGGAGTGGGTATAGCAGGTATTGGGCCTCGCTGCACTACTCTCGAAATGTGCAAAACGAGAGTGAATCTTCCGCTAGAATTCGGAGAGATACACCGCCAATATTTTTGTCCTTCGTGCATGTCGAGAGTAGTGCAGCGAGGCCCATTCCCTTTTTCTTTTGGGTTTTTCTTTCAGTGGCAGCCTCTCTTTGTCCACTCACCTGAGCGAAATGTTGCTTCAATAGTTGGGCAAACTGTTGGCTCTGCGCCGTGATGCTCCCCTGAACCCGTAACAATTTCTGCAAGACGATGCCGTTAGTAACGTCGTCGACCTCCGCCTCCGCATCCGCATCAACAGCAGCTCGGTTGATGTCAACGAAATCGTCTCCGAAAGATGGATCCTTCCGCTGGCTTTGCTTTCTTCCCTCTTCTATCAACAATTGGGAGGTGGTGGTGGTCCCCGCCATGACGCGGTCCAACGTTCCTGCCGCCCCTTCCGGGCGCTTTCCTGCCTTTGTTGCCCTCGCTGCCCTTGCCTCCTCTTCTCGGCCCAACCGTAGTCCCGCCGCCAACCCTGCATCGTTCCTCGGGAGATCTACCTCTATCCCTTCCCCTTCCCTATCCCCCTTTTCCCACCCATTCGCGTTTGAAGTTCTTTTTCTCATCTTTTTCAGCTCTTGCTTCGTCATTTGCAGACCAAGCAAGATTCTGCGAACTTGTTCTCCTCCATCTTTTCCTTCTTGAGAAGAACCATGAATTCCCTGAAGTAAACCATTGAGTGAGTCAGCCTGGTTTTCACCATGACTCCTCCTCCTCCTCTCCGCCGCTCCTTCCCCCGCCATAGCCATTTCTTTAGGCTCCCCTTCAGTTTCCGCCTTACTCCCAAGCAAGTATAGCGCGACCGCCAGCGCACGAGTACCAGGGACACCTTCCAAAACCTTTCCCGCCCTTTCCAAGCTCCTCCTGCGGCCATCGCCGCCGTCGTCGCCGCCGCCGCCACTTCCCAGAGGTTTTTGTCTGTGCTGCATCGCCTGGTTCTCGTTTCGTCCACGACCAGTCGATCGTCTATTGTCCGGCACAACGAACCGGTCATCCCAAGGAGCTCTCTTTCCCACCTCTCCTTTCCGAACACGCCCACCGCTTTCATTGTCCCAAAGCGCGCCGCTGCCGTGGCTATGGATGCTCAGCTTGCTTCCCCTCCTTATCAACGGCTGAGATTGCGAACGGCTCTTCCGGGGTTCTGTCCGTAGCTTTGTTTCCCCCGCCTCTGATCCATCGAACAAGGTGGGAGTTTGTTCCCCTGTTTCCCTCCCCTCCCCTGCTCTCTTCTTCACCTGCTTCGTAGCCTTCGCCATCCCCATCAGGGATGCAACCCCGGTCATCAACTCTCCGTACGGTTCACCAGCAGTAGGCGGACTTGCCCTCGAGCTCCTCCGTGATATCGTCGGCTTAGTGCCTCTGCTGCGCAACCCTGACGATGGATCGATAACATGCCTCTGACTCTGACTGCTGCCCCTTCTCCTCGACGAGGGGGAAATGAGAGCATTCTCCATCACTTCCCCTTCCTCAAGAGACTCGTCATCCACAAAACCCGACCCGCCTCTCCTCCTTGCACTCGGATCCACACCAGACCATCTATCTGTTGGACCTGCAGCTATATCAGAGCACACCGTATCTCTATCAATATTGCTTCCAACCAGCACTTCTGATCTACCCATCTCTCTCTCTCTCTCTCTCTCTCTCTCTCTCTCTCTCTCTCTCTCTCTCTCTCTCTCTGTGTCCGCACCTATTTATCTATCTTCTCTCTCTGTCTCTGCGTATGTGTGTGCGTGTGCGTGTGCGTGTGCGTGTGTGTGTGTGTGTGTGTGTGAGTTAAATAGCTAGCCATGGCAATCTGAAACAATGGACCACAAAGGGGGCATCGAGGAGAGATGGAAGAAAACGGAGGAGAGACGGGATGGAGATGGTGGCGGGATGGGAGAACGGAGGAAGAAGGGCAGAAAGAGAGAGAGGACTTCCACAGCCCCTTGTCTCTCCCCGCCACGAACGGGACGTCCTGAAAACATCACTCTTGTCTGTCGTTTCGTGGTTCCTGTCCACTCCTCCATACTAAATGCCTCGTGGCCATCCCCACAACACCGTCATGGTCGTCGAACCCCTTCTGTCGTCCGGCGCTGTACCCACCTGCCCCGCTGGCACCGTGACCTGCAGCTTTTGAATTTGCAAATGACAGTGGGTAAATTAGACATCACAATGGGTACTCGAGAAATGAGAAATGGGTACTTTACCCACCAAGTCTTTGAAAGAGTGGGCATAGGACAACAACAGCAGCTCTCGCGGTCTCGCCGTTCTCCCTCCCGTCTACTCCTTTCCTTTGCAGCAACGGTTAGTTGCCGTCGTCTTCCGAATAAAACGCATTGGCAGTATGAGCGTCTCTCTCTCTCTCTCTCTCTCTCTCTCTCTCTCTCTGTGTATATATATATATCGTCAAATAGAACTGCCCGGTAAACCGTAGGCAGAGAGGGAGAAGAGGACAACAAACGAGGGGCTGTGACAAACTGTTTCGTCGGAGTTTCACCGACTCATCAGGAGGCTGAACCTATATATATATATACATCTGTTTGTCTTTGTCTGCTATTTTAAAGGCATTGTCTGAATGTTTTTATAGATCTATGGATAGAGGTCATCGAGCAACGAACCGGATTGTGGTGACGGAAGAGGTTGTCTCTCTCTCTCTCTCTCTCTCTCTCTCTCTCTCTCTCT